TTTTTTTGTTTTTACAGTTTTGTTCACCTGTGTCTGACTTGTTTATGTTTTCTTAATGGTGGATGACCTGAGTGCAGCACTTTCTAAACTCGAGTGTCGAGTAGCACTTCTGGAGAAAACACCGGCAGCAGCTGCAGCTCCATCAGTTCCCTGCACAAATGTGAGTTTCGCTGAACTGATTGTTTGTCTTGTTACGTCACACTGTTAATAACTAAAGTTTTTCTCTGCAGGGTAAAGCCGCTCCACATAAAAGCAGGGTTCTGGTGAACGAGGAAGACGCCGATGATGATATTGACCTGTTTGGCAGTGACGAAGATGATGACGAGGCAGAAAAACTAAAAGCTCAGAGATTGAAGGAATATGCCGAAAAGAAGGCCAAGAAACCCGCCCTCATCGCAAAGTCCTCAATCCTGCTGGACGTCAAACCTGTAAGATGTTAATCTGGCTATGGCAGAATATTATCAGTACATCTCACCTACAGAGTTGACACAAACACACCTGGTCTCATGATTCCTTCCACATGTTTTTTTTTTCCAGTGGGATGATGAAACAGACATGGTGAAGTTGGAGGAGTGTGTGCGCTCTATCCAGACCGACGGCCTGTTGTGGGGCACATCCAAGCTGGTTCCTGTGGGTTATGGCATCAAGAAGCTTCAGATCGCGTGTGTGGTAGAGGACGACAAGGTGGGAACAGACTTGTTGGAAGAGGAGATCACCAAGTTTGAAGACTTCGTAAGTTTTTCTTCCTCCAGTGTTAATACAGTGCATAAAAATAACTGCTCCATTTGCACGGTCAAAACATCAACATAAATCCTTATAACATACTGTACATGCAAACTAATACATTTCTTACCTTCTATTCCAGGTCCAGAGTGTTGATGTTGCAGCTTTCAACAAGATCTGAGTTTGTTTGTTTTTTAATTTGCCATTTTCTGTTTTTTCCCCTCTCTGTCACATTTAATTTCTCAACTTGATTCTGTCAACGGTTAATAATAATTGTGATATCAATAAAAAAAACTATGCACTGAAATGTTTCTTGTTCTCTCATTTTTATCATTATTAATTGCCCTAGACTGAATATCAGATTCAGATTTTTTTGATCTAAACAAATGGTTCATGTGTAGTACACAATGAAACCAAAGTAATCCACTAATACTGCACATTTAAAAAAAAACTTGGTGACCCTGCAGTAATAACTGAACTACATCTCATACATAAAAACATTAAATAAACAAAAACATGTTTTAATAACAACTATTCAATAGTTGAACAGCAATAAATATAATGTATAATGCCTAGAACTGCCATTACATATAAAAACGTAATTACCTTTACTTAATTTAATACGTTTACTTCTTTAAAGATATAATGTGTCATTCAGACTCCGATGCTAACAGAGTAAGTCAGTCTAAAAGATGTTTCATTTTGAAAATTTAAATGGTTCTTCAA